AAAGCCTAGCAATGTGTTGGTGAACTATGGAAAAGATACTAGGTTGAAGAGGTCCAACTGGCTGATTTCGGGAGTACTGTCCAGGTAGGCTCTACTTATGCTCAACGCGGGGATCCTATCGGAACCCCAATATTTAGAAGCCCCGAAGCACATCTTCAAATAAAATGGGGCACTTCCACCGACATTTGGTCTTTTGGCGCGCTGGTAAGTTATCCTCATAGAATCGTCGAAATCATGCACGCTGTTGACTAGGCTACAATGCAGCTCATTAGTCTGCTATATGGGGAAGGGTTCCACATCTTTAAACCCGATGTCCCAGTAGACCATGATGATTACGACGTCAAGATTCTCATGAAGCATCATCGGTGCTTCGGCCCATTCCCAGCATCATACGAAGAGATTGCAGACCAGGAAAGGCTTGCAGTTCTTGCGTGGATAATGCAAAATAGCCCTAGTGAGACGTTGCGGCCCTTTCATCTCACAACCACCAGAGAGATTTGCCAGGAAGATAAGGAGCTTGTGCTAAGGACGATGAAGCTCGATCCTAGAGATAGGCCGACTGCTCGTCAGCTCTTGGAAGATAAATGGTTTTGCCACTCTTGAGTTCCAGGATTCCGCTTATAGGGCCTAGTTGAAACCTCATTATATGTACATATCTAATCAAGCACCGACCGATTACTGATGCTAACCGGCAACCGAATTCTGAATAATAGCGATGGGTACAACTATGTTTCCCGCTCTTCCCAATCCCCTAAACACTCTGAGGACGTTATTCTTCCTTGCGTGGAAAATGCACGCTTTTTCCATCACCCTTATCATCAAGACAAACGCCGGTGTGGTGATCACGCGGATCGTCGCTCGGATGCTGAGTCTCCCTATCTGTAATTCAGCACTAGTCGTTCGGATAGCAGAGGTGTGAATTTCTCTGACCTTTGACAAATTTCCTTCGTTCCTGGCGGGACCAAGTCTTTGGAGGCCTCGACAGCTTTCTTGAAGCCTGGGCCCTGCTGGTGTGCATTATACTCGGGTCTAGTCCAAGTGGAAGTTTCGGTAGCGACAGAGAGCAAGATCTCTTGCCCTGCTTTGGTGATACTGCCGATGGGAACTTTCTTAAGGATTTATCGGAAAGGAGGATGATGATATTGAGGATCTATCGAATGTGCTAAAGCAAGGTGTAGCGAGATAAGATGACTAATACAAAAACTGACACACCCCCCCAGCTCTGGTGGAATAGGAGCCAGCAGAGCTATAAAAAGGTGCTAAATCAAGCCAAATTAAAGCCATAGATACTTCCTAAATAGGCAATATTGGCCGGCTTGTAGTATAGTAGTTCTAATACCCTAGATAATACCCTAGAAAGTAACTAGTTGTTACAGACTACAAGCACAACATAGCTTACTTAAGGGATGATTGATTCTTATATCAGTATATGTATGAAAGCCTCATAATATTAACAAACTAGATAACTTTACTAAATATAAAGATAGCTTAGATAGTATAGATAGTATAAGCTATTATAAATAATAGATACTATTTTATTAAAAAAATATTATATATATAAAAATATTTATTAATTATTTAATTAAAAGTTATCTTTTAATATTTATAATTAATATAGTTTTTATAATAAGTTATAGTTTTATAGTACTAATTAATATAAGTATATTTTTTTTTATTTATTTATTATTTTAAAATTAATTTTTATATTAAACTTAATTAGTATATTAATTTTATTATAAATAAAGAATTTAAAATATAACTATAATATTAAATTAAATTTAAAATTATAATTTTAAAATTAAATATTAAAATATTTTTTTATAATTTAAAAAATTTATTAATATTTTATTATATTTTAATTTATTTATATAATATTTTAATATTTTTTTATTAAAATAATTATTTTAAATTATTTATTTAAAAAATTTTATTTATATAATATTAATTATTCTATATTTATAGTTATAAATATTTAAATAAAAATTCTAATTTATTATTTATTTTAAATTATTTTAATATTTATTTATAATTAATAGTAAAAATTATATTTATATATATTTACTATAATATTATAATTTTAATTAATAAATATAATATTTAAAAGAAATTTAAATATATATTTTCTATTTTAAATATTTAAAGAATTAATTAAAATAATACTTTTTTAAAAAAAAATAAAATTAATATATTTACTATAAATAGAATTATTAATAACTTTAATTATATTTTAATTTAATTTAAATAATAAATTACTATTTTAAAAATAAAAATTAATAAATAAAATAATAAAAATAATATTTAATAATATAAAATATAAATTAAAAAATTAATTAATAAAATATATATTTTAAAAATATATATTAAAAATTTATAATTATTAATTAAAATTAAAATATTTAATATTTTTAATAAAAAATATAATAAATTAAAATATTTTTTAAATAAATATAATATTTATTTAATTACTAAATTAAAAATTACTAAAATTAAAAAAATAATTTTTATAAAATTTTATTTATATAATACTATAATTATATAGTTTAAACTAATATTTAAAAATTAAATTAATATTTAAAAAAATTTAAAAATATATATAAATATATTAAATAATTATATATAATTTAAAACTATAATTAAATAATTTTTTAAAAATATAAATTATAAATAAATTTTTAAATAAAAATTAACTAATTTATAATAAATAAGAAATATAATATAATTTATAATATAATTATAATAATTATATTAAAAGTTTAAAATTTATAATAATAATAAAAAAATAATTATTTTTAAATAAAAGTTTAAATTAAAAATATAATATAAAATTATTAAAATAAAATTATTTATAAATTATATTTTTATAATTAAAATAATAATATAAATTAATAATTAATTATATAATTTATAAAATTTATAATAGAGAAAAATAATTTTTTAAAAAAGAATAAATTAATAAAATATAAATAAATAAAATAATTATAAATTAATATTAATAAAATTTAATATTATTAAAAAAATTTTTTTAATAAAAAATAAAATAAATAATATAGAAAATAGAAGTTATACTTCTATTATAAAAAGTTAAAATATTAAATAAAAAATTATAAAAAGAAATAAAAAAATATTATTATTATAATAAAGTTTAATAATATAAAAAATATAAAATATTATAAAATTAAAAAAAAATTTAATATTATTATTATAATAAAATTTAATAATATTAAAAAATTTTAAATAAAAAAAATATTTATAACCTCCATAAAATTAATATTATATTTAAATATTT